GCACATGTGTTTTGGAAAGGTAGAGAACTTTGGGCTCCAAGTAGGACATAAGGGCCTAAATAGAAAATGAAAAATAAAGGAAGAGTCATAGTGGCACAATCACACTAGAGGGGGAAGAGGGAACGGCAGGAAAGAGGCTCTTCATTATAGATTGTACGAACATTGAACACTGAAACTTATTGAAAGGGAATTGAAATTCGAAAATTAAACGAAAAAAATGAAAAAGGATCCCTCCACCTCCTCAAACACACATTCACATTAGAAAAAAATTAAATACACCAGAAAATTTTTTATAATTCTAAAGAAATAAACAAAGAACTAGTATCAGCTTGATTGTGTTCCCAGAAAGGCAATTTCTCTCAAAACTGTGGCCCAAACGACTTTACATATTTTACGCATCCTATGACGCAGCTAAGATGATTCAGGAGGCTGGCTGCTTTAGTCACACATGAAAGGGCTCAATCGTGTTAAGAGGGATACATTGTCCTAGCAGAAAGACATATATACATGGGTCCTGGTTTTGATCTGGTCTATTTTGTGTCTAAAAGATATTTGGATTTTTTTAAAATCTAGAGGAAAACCAATACAGTAAGTAAAACAACACAAACCAGATACGTCAGCAGAGGCCAAATCAAAGCCAAACAAAACCCCCACCTGTACTCTTGCCTGTCTCTGTCGGTTGACCTGTGACCCGCCGTGGGTCATCTTCTGGCTCCGTGGTCACAGCCGTATCCCTGGGATACACGTAAAGGTCATCCTCGAAGAGCCTGTCCGAATGTCGCCCTGTGGGAGAGAACACTGGGTTATTTTGTTTGTTTTTGCTGAAGTTAAACATTCTACAGCCTACCCTCTTGGGCGTGGAAGTTTTCGACTATCATCGGCGAGCTGTTGAAAAAGTCTCAACCCCAGAAAGTAATATACATGTATTTCAAGGGAAAGGATACTCTTTCTTTTGAAAATTCTACCCACACTCAAAAACAAAAGCAAATGATAGCTTTTTCTATTGGTTGACAATTTGTGGGGATTTTCTTTTGTTTAAAAATTAATGTTCAATGTGGCTAAGTGCATTTTACATTCACTTTTCCACAGTGATGAAGTATGTTAAGGCACCACAAACGTCGGTATATTAATACAAGTTGTTAGTCATCTGTGTGGTTTCGCCAAGATATTGGCTATGCGTATTGCTGTAAGCCCGGTAGGAGATGATAAAAATACAATGTCGTTTGTTTGTTTGTTTAATTATTTGTTTGTTTGTTTGTTTTGTTTTGTTTGATTGAGTAAGGAAAAGCACATGGACCCAATGATAGCTATTTAATGATGGGAGATAGTGAGACAGACAGACCGAATAAAACAGAGGGAAAGTATATAAGTCGTAGGACCTGCCAGTGACGCCCTCCTACCACCCACATAATGGCGCAATTATGAGTATTCAAAAATCGAAGTGACTATTCCTAGTGACAATGAAACTCTTTTGCTTTTAAAAAAATAGCCTTTAAATTTTAATTATTTTTTTGGTAAGTGTTTCACGGCGCTCGCAACTGCATCAGGTCATATGAGCGCGCGGGACACACCTAATATTTTCAGTTGGAAGGAAATTTTGAATTTTGCCCGGGTGGCGGCCGAAGCCTACTCATATCGATTTTAGACCACCAGGGGATCTTTAACGTGCGCAACTTGCACACGGGCGCTCCGAGATTTTTCGCCCTTGTCCGAGAAGGCTAGGTGTAGATCTTTCCTACTAGAAGATCATGGGTGTGGAAGAAAGACAGCAGTAAGGAGGAGCCAAGGAGTAGCAGTAGAAAGGCTGCAGAAAGAGTCAGGAGCTCAGAGGAGGGGGCAAAGGAGGTGAGGGGGCGGGGGCAGAAAGCAGACCACAGAGCATTGCTGGAGAGCAGGAAAGGAGGTGAAAGGAGACCATTTTAGAGAAGAAAACTTTTCGGTCGCTACCCGGAATTGAACCCGGGACCTTTGAATGAGAGGCCAACACCTTAACCTCTAGGCCACGAGAGCCCCCTTTGAATTTTCACCTCGAACTTTGAAACAAAATTGCGATTCAGATGGAAGTGGGCGCGAAGTTCTCCTCCTTCAAAGAGTTTGAAGAGAAATTTGCAGCTTTTCAAAAGATCAAGATTCTAGGCCTAGATTCTATTCTAACATGTACTGTAGACTCTCTTCTCACTTCAGTTCAGTACTATTGTTCTCTTCTCTTACTTGGGCCTAGACTTGACAGTAGCTTAGATCTATGTCTAGACCTAGAAGAAAGACTCGGGAAGGTTTTCCACCTGTCCTGTACCGTGGTCTCCAAAATCCGTATCTAGATCCACATGTACATCTAGATCCACATGTACATCTAGATCCACATGTACATCTAGATCCACATGTACATCTAGATCCACATGTACATCTAGATCCACATTACGACTGAATAACAAGCAAGCGTAAAATGATCACTCCTTTCTTTAAAAACAAATTATTCCACTCACACCATCATCTATTTTAGTTTAGTTAGATCTAGAATCTAGATCTAGATCTACATTAGATATAGTCTAGTATTTAGTAACCCATCATCATCATCATCATCATCATGCCCATGTAGATCAATGTGGGAACAATAGATCTAAAGGGCCAGTACGTCTATTCGCCGTGTCAATGGAAATAGTTTCTTGGCCTTTTCCTAGTGAAACTGGGAACAATTCTGGCCCAGGCCTATTGCCAGTGGTTTCTGGTGGGAATAGTTTCTGGGTCAGCTGCTGAGAGTAAAGCTGTAGTCTCGCAAACAGTTATTGTTATTGTTTTATTTGCAAGGAGATAGGGGAAGTGGTGGAGGATCCGGTAGCTAGTTTTTATTTTCCATTTAATTATAAGACACCTTTTCTTGTGAGTCTGTTTTGTGTCTAAAGGACAGTATGTTTTGTTTTACCTTTTACTAAGTAAAACAACACAAACAAGTTACGTCAACAGAGACTTAATCAAAGCCAAACAAAATCCCCACCTCTACTTTTGCATGTCTCTGTCGGTTGACCTGTGACCCGCCGTGGGTCATTCATTGGCTCCATTTCCATTGCTGTGTCCGAATGGCGCCCTGTGGGAAAGAACGTTGTGTTATTTTGTTTGTTTTCGCTGAACTCAAGTATTCTAAAGCATATCCACCTGTACTTTAGAAGTTTTCCACGCTATTGAAAGGTTTTAAGCCTAGAAAAGAAATGTATAATTGTTCAATGGGAAAGAGAACCTTTCTTTTGAAAATTTTACCCACACTTCCAAAGCTTTTTTTTTAACGTTCAACTGGAGTCTGAGTTTGCTTGTGATGGTGACGTTGCTCACATTACCTGAATCCTTTTCTTCACGTTCCCCTGCTAGATTTCAGGGGCTGTCAACTGCTGGTTTTTCACCCTGCGGTGCAACTAAGTTTTTAATATGTGACCGTTTTTCCCAAATTGTAAGACCCCTTGCCTTTACGTTTAAGGCCGTCATATTCCGATTTCAAAGGTACTCTATATTCCATAAAATATTAGTCAATTTTTAAAAATAAAAAAAACCTGATAAGAATATTTTCCGTATTTGGTAAGAATTAATTTTTAATTTTGACCTAGTGGCGACCGAAGCCTTCTCTTATCGACTTTGGAACACCTAAGGCTGCAAACGCACTGGCTTCACGTTCCCCACGTTTTCAACTCTCCGTTTTGGGGTGGAAATTTTGAGTTTTATTGCACAAACGTACTGACTTCACATTCCTTTCTCCCTCGTGATTAAAAAACCCAACAATAATGAAACTTTAATTTTTACTTTCCACTCCAACTTCTTTAGAAATGACTACCCACTGCTTGTTGACGTAATTTCTGTTTTGTTGTTGTTTTTTTAAGTAGAGTGTTTTACGGCGCTCGCAACTGCATAAGGTCATATGAGCGCGCGGCACACACTTAATATTTTCAGTTGGTAAGAAATTTTGAATTTTGCCCGGGTGGCGGCCGACGCCTACTCATATATCGATTTTAGACCACCAAGGGATCTTTAACGTGCGCAACTTGCACACGGGCCCTCCGAGATTTTTCGCCCTTGTCCGAGAAGGCTAGGTGTAGATCTTTCCTACCAGAAGATCAGGGGTGTGGCTGAAAGACTGCAGTAAGAAGAAGCGAAGGAGTAGCAGTAGAAAGGCTTCAGAAAGAATCAGGAGCCCAGAGGAAGGGGCAAAGGAGGTGAGGGGGTGAGGGTAGAAAGTGGAGACGAAAGCAGACGACAGAACATTGCTAGAGGGCAGGAAATGAGGTGAAAGGGGACACATTTAGAGAAGAAAATTTTTCGGTCGCTACCCTGATTCGAACCCGGGACCTTTTGAGTGAGAGGCCAACCCCTTTACCTCTAGGCCACGAGAGCCCCCTAATTTCTGTTTGAGTAATTGTCTTGTGATTTATCAAAAAGTGCAGGTCCCTTCTACATCGCTGCAATTAGTGCTTCTTCCATCTTGTCTGCTCAAGTTTTGAATCAAATGTCTCAATATATACTAGTTCTATATAGAGCCAGCAAAAAGAAAGAAGTGAACAACCCATGTAGGTCGAGGTCAGCGTGTTCACAATTATTCTTTAATCGTCTATATTGCGAAAATGGGCCTATAAGTTAAAATCTCGCGTGCTATTCGTTAATTTTCATCGCAGAATCCAAATATGAAGTCAAAAATTAAAATACATTTTACTGCAATTTTGATTAAAATGAATTTCAGCTTTCTACATCCTGACTGTGGTATTTTTAGAATTTCAACCCCTAGACCGCAGAATGACGATTTGCAGAGATCAGTTTTACTGTAGCGGTAATAGGGGGTGCCCTCATACGCGATCGGGTCGGGTCTATCGGGGCTAGCCAAATTGAGGGCGCAAAGCGGCCATCCTAGAACAAACCGATCGACACGATCGGTGACCTACAAAAACGCACGTGGTTTTTTTTCAGGTCTGCGAAAAGCGCGATCGGTGGTTTGCAGCCAATCACAACAAGGCTGAGTCACGTGTCCATTTTGACCCATGAATACATTAAGTAGGCTGGGAATTCACGGTTTCGGTCTCACGCCTTTGACCGTCTTCTCACTTCTCACAGCGGGTTTGGAGCGCTCATAGGCCTATAGGAAGAAGAAGACGAATAAGAAGAAGAAGTTGGAGAATTACAGAGGCAGGGTGGTGAGAGTGACTGGGAGTGAGAGAGATAGGTAGAGAGATGTATGCATAGACCTACATTGCTAGATCTAGGTTTCTTATATACGGGAAGTGAAAAATAAACAAGAAAGGGGAGAGACACTAAAGCAAGCAAGCAAGCACTCACGCGCACACACACACACACACACACACACACACACACACACACACAAACACACAAACAAACACACACAGGGAGACAGATAAAGAGAGGGAGTGCGGGAAGTCCAAGAGTATCGTACCGTCGTAGGCCTAGATCTATGTATTCACAGGTCAACGGTTCAGCCAATCGTAGCCGGGTTTACGCCCTCTGAGTAGTCGTATGTAGGTTAAAGGTTTCTCTACTTTAACTTCCATTCGTCGTCGGGTACAATCGCGGCGGGGTTGCAGTGTGCACTGAAACCACAAAACGCCCCGACCCGATCGGGCCGACCCGACCTGACCCGACCCGACCCGACCCGACCTGATCGCGTATGTGGGCAACCCCTATAAAATCAAAATCGTGAAGGCGGGCCGTGAAAGTGTGGGGATTGTAATGTGAAGTTAATGCGACGCCGGATATAAGTTAAAGAAGGCTTCCGTCACATCTGTAAGTTGGGTGACGGTAACAACGTGAAAACGTGGGGAACGTGAAGCCAGTGCGTTAGCAGCCTAAGGGAATGTTAACGTGCGCAACTCGCACGCAGGACCTTGGGGAACTTTTGCTCTTATTCTAGAAGGATAGGTGCTCGATGTTACCTAGCCTTAAGATGAAGACTGAGGCAGAAAGACAGCAATAAGAAGGAGCCAGGAGTAGCAGTAGAAAGAGTTAGAAGTGAATGCGGCAGAAGCTGAGAGGGCTGTCTGTAGGCGTGGGGGAGGATGGAGGAAGGGAGGGAGGAGAGTGGAGAGGAAAGCAAATGACAGAAGACGACAAGAGAACATGAAAGGAGGACAAAGGAGAATATTCTAGAGAAAGAACATTTTTTTTTTTTTTTTTTTTTCCCCTTTGCAAGTTTCGATCCTCGGATTTTTTTAAAACTGAGAGCTGAACACTGTACTCCTTAGACCACAGAAAAAACAAAACGCACAAGCAACAACAACAACAATAACCTCCAAACCAGCATCGGAACTAACGTCGTTTAGACCGATAAGCCTCACATCCTGTGTCATCAAAGTTATGGAGAGAATGGTATCTGAACGACTGTACGACATGGCCGAGCGGAACGGCTGGTTCTCCGAACTGCAGGCTGGTTTCAGGAAGGGGAGATGTGTGGAAGACAAAATTCTGAGAATTACGCAGAAGATTTCCGATGGCTTCCAAAAGAAGGAGAAATCGCTACTCGTCCTCCTCGATTTTTCAAAGGCATACGACACGGTCTGGCGAGAACGCCTACTCCTCACCCTCCTGGACAGAGGTATCCCAGATACATACGTTTTATGGCTGAATGACTTCCTTCAAAATCGTCAAGCCAGAGTCCGATTCAATGGAATACTGAGTAATAGCAGGAAAATGAACCAAGGTCTCCCACAAGGTTCGGTCCTGGCACCCATCCTCTTCCTTTTTTATATCGACGAACTGGCGAAACTACTTCCGGACGATCTCACAATTTCACTCTACGCTGACGACGTCTCTATCCTCGCTTCATCACGCACGACACGAGACGCCGAAAGTCTGGCACAAAGAGCGGTGGACATCGTTGCTGACTGGAGCAGGCGATGGAAACTCACGCTAAACGGCTCAAAGAGCGAGACAACATTCTTCACGCTCGCAACATCTGACTCGGATTGGAAGCCGTGCATCACGATAAATAATTCGTCAATTAAGTATGAGCCCTACGCAAGACTCCTGGGAGTCACACTCGACCGCAGGCTCACGTTCAGGAAACAGGTTGAGACAGTAATAGCTAAGGCCACACAGAAGATGAGGATGCTCGGCGCTGTAGCGCACTCAAAATGGGGATGGAGGAAAGACGACCTACGCAAGGTCTACCTCACTCATATACAAAGTGTTCTCAACTTTGCAAGCAGCAGCTGGCAACCGTGGCTGAGCAAAACTCTGATAAATAATCTGGAGGTGATTCAAAACAGATGTCTGCGACTGATTACCACTCAAGCCCAGTCCTCACCGATCGAGGCACTTCGGGCTGAAACGGGGGTCCCAAGCATTCAGTCCACCATAAATGCTAACTGTCTCCAATCAAGAGAGAAGGCCCTCCGACTGAACAACGACCACCCTCGACGAATTGCGGCAACGGAACAAGTGCACAGACGCCTAAAAGGACGCAGGGATTTCCGAAAAAAGGCTGAAGACGTCAGCAAAAAGAGCCCACATCTGTTCAACTGCGAGAGGAGGCCCATCACTTACTTCGAAAACAGGCCCTGGGAACGTGGAATCAACCCCGACATCACTTTCCCCCACCTGTACGGCATAAGCGGAAGGAGTGACTCCAGTGGGAAGATTCAAAGCGCTGCTGTTCGTCGAGCACGAGAGCTTGGCGCACAGTACAATATCTACACTGACGGCTCGGCGAGGGCAGGAACAACGGACGGCGGCGCTGGAGTCGTCATCACAACGGGGAACCCGTCCAACCCTACCGTTGTCGAGACATTGAGGGAGAAAGGCGCCATATTTACGTGCTCTTTCGAGGAAGAAAGGAGAGCCTTGGAAATGGCCATTGACTGGGTTGACAAAGAGTGTGATGCATCCAACTCGGTCGCTATCTTCACCGACAGTCAATCACTATGCATGGCACTAGTGGGAACATCACCATCCTTCGACCAATTGCGACTACGCATAAATAATGCAATACCTCAACCCACGATTCAGTGGATCTCTGGTCACCGCGATATCCTCGGCAACGATCTCGCTGACAGTAATGCCAAACTGGCAACAGCGCTGCCGGGTCCAGGCCGCCAAATCACTTATGTCAGTGCGTGCGCCCAGATAAAACTAATTACAAAAGACCCCCCTATATGCCACACGCGGACGAAGGAAGTATACAGGGCATTTTCCTTAAAACGAGAGGCTCTTATTATGTCCCGCAATGACCAGTCATTACTGGCAAAAATCAGGACCGGTCATTTCTCTGGGCTTCGGGCCTACAAATATAAAATAGACAAAACATCGGACCCAATATGTCCATTGTGCAGCGAGGAGCCCCAAGATTTGGAGCATTGGCTGCAGAGATGCCCCGCCACGGAGGCCCGGCGGTGTCATCTCTTCGGGGAGGATTCAGGGAGGTTGGACTGCCTCACCCGCTTCCCAAGGGAGGCGGTGGCCCTGGCGAAGAGCACACTCTTCGGGGCTCCGAACATTTTGAACGGATAGGCTACCACACACACACACACAACAACAATAGCAGCAACAACAACAAAAAATCTAACCTTATTATTTTGGTGTTTTGATGAGATTCACGTGTGTGTTTTTACAGACTTTGCCTTCGACAATAAAATTATTTGCAAACAGCTTTACTTTTTGTTCTTTATAATGTATTATTTTGTCTGATTTAATGTTCATGACAATGACCTCATAGGAGATATGCTCAACGTAAAATGGGAAAAGTTTTAGTCAAGTATCTCGGTCTTTCTACATGGATTTTGTATCCCTGTTAGCCCAGATTGGCCATGGCAGTTCGGTCGGATGACTCCATCCAAAATGAACTAAATTATGTGGATTAAAGCGTTTAAGCACCTAAATAAAAGGCGTACTCATTGCAAGATGCTTGTGCATGTATTCATGTGTGTGCTTGATAAGTGGTGTAGTGTTACTAAGCTGTAAACCTTTTAAAAAAGAAACACAATGGCTTCGTAATTCAGGCAGATTTTTTCATTCTGCTTTCTCTATCGAAAACTTGAAAAGGCAGGCAATAGTACGAGTACTGTGAAACATAAAAATTAACGTTTCTGATTTGTGTTTGATCATACACAATGAAGTGCTTTTGACTGCTGCTCACCGGACATAATCGGTACGTTTAGTCTTTAAATCGTTAACAATAATAACTTAAGGGTTTGCATTTGCCAGAAGCCATCTATTGCCGCTGTTCCCGAAAGGCAAATAAGTCACAGCACGGTGGACTCAGACGCTCGTCAATGTTTGGGCATAATAGGTTTTGGTATTAGTTATCAGTGGCGAATGTCGAGAGTGATAACTTATAAGCACACAAGTTAGCCCAGACGAGTTAATCTTTTGATACGGAACGCAACTACATTGCCTATGAAAAATATTACACAGGTTATTGGCCACACCCCTTTCATTGTTTTCAAAATATTATCATATAGACATAGGGCAACAAACACACTTACAATGTCATACTTTTATTAAATGCTAGGAGTGAAGATGACGAATTACTTCCAAATATCTGATCACTCAATGCCAAGAGTTGGGAATGAGGGTTGAGTCCTGCCCCCCCCCCCCCCCCCCCCCCCCACACACACATCAGGACGGCCTGGCGTGGATCAGGAGTAAGCTCCAAACACAAAGTGAAATACACTTAACGCTAAGATTAACATGCACATTATTTCAAACATTAAAGCATCATCATCGTTATCATCATCATCATCATCATCATCATCATCATCATCATCATCATCATCATCATCATCATCATCATCAATTCCTCTTTTTCTTGATGTGCTTTTCTTGTTTTTATTTTACTTGAAACATAACAATTTGCACCCTGCCAATACATTGTTACGTAACCTACAAATATCGGCACCAAAATCAGGTCACGGGACAAAGCAAAACAGTTTTGGTATTAGTTGAGTCTGAGTTTTTTCAACCAGGATGTTCCTTAACGTCTTACGTTTATTGTCCTAAAGTCATTCATTAAACCAGGTCCGTGGGTGGTTGGCGGGTGCTCTGGTGTGGTTTGCTTCTTCTTTCCTATGAAACATCTATCGTCCTTATCTCCCCTTCTCCTTTTTTATGTTTGTTACTTTCTTGTAACACTTCTAATCTTCTGGCGCTCATATTATGACCTTATGCAGTTGCGAGCGCCGTAAAACCTCTCCTAAAACTGAAAAAAAATCCTGATCCCTCAGTATATCATATTGATTTATTTTTGACATAGAATTCATATTTTTTTGTGTTTGACGGTTTCGACATCGCTTTAACACTTAATTCCACTCTTTCGTCCTGCTTATAAAGTTTATTAATTAACCATTAATTTTCCACTTTTTTACACGTTTCTGTGCTGTTTTATAAGTACGTATCTAAACCTTGGCGTGCTTACCAAAGTACAATCGTTTCTAAGACTTACATAAATAAAATGCATATTGAAAATCTGTGGTTCCCCTTTTTCCCCCAATTTGAATTTTGAAAATGAAAAAAATACCCATCTATTTTCAATAGAAGTCTAGATATGAAATTGAATAATGTGGTGGCCGCCTGGAGTCAAAAGTAAAATTAGGGAGAAAACGGCCGCCAAATTTTGGTAACTTTCAAAGCTGTAGTGGTCTTGAAAACGGAAAATTTACTTTATGCCCTTAATCTCTAAACATTTTTAAAGTAAAAATCCACGCAGGAATATATTTTGAAATGAACATAAAAGGTTATAATCAACCCCTCCCCCCAAAAAAAACCCCAAACAAAACAAAAAATATTTTTAAAAACCCCACCAAAAACAAACAAACAAACAATTTTTAAAAATTAAAAAATTCCAATAACATTTTCCAGTGGGTGGAAACTTTTGGAGAGCGTCTGGTTTCACAATGATACCACACAAATAGACATTTACAAAACTGGCGTCGATGGTGCAGCGATCGATTCCTACCCCGTCGCATACAGAAGACATGAGTTCGATTACCGTGTAGAGATACATTTGTATCGACTAAATCAGTCTTTCTTGTGGGACGTCATATCCGTCGCAGCCCGAGTGGCCCTGGCAGGTATGGTCGAAATCTTTAAATGACATGAATTGTGTCTGTGCAGTCGCAACCGACTGACACAGATGACTGGGTTAAAATATCTTGGAAGCGCTTTTCTGAAAACAGGTCCATAGACAGACAAATAGAAATGCAAACTCAAAAAGCCAACGCTGTCACCTACCAGCGTGCACCCTTTCTATCTCATCCAAACATCTTCATGGACACAAAGAGACATCTCATCACTTCAATATGCATACCAACATTATGCTATCAGAGCTAGACCTGGACATAAAGTAAAACCCATGAAAGAAAAGTCACTGCATGCGAAATGAAATATCTCCGCAAAAACCCTTAAAATCACAAGCGACACAGGCAGAGAAATGAAGAAGTAAGAGCAGCTATCGGCACTGAGTCCTGCTTGCATTTCATAGAAAGACAGAGAATAACATTGCTTGGCCAGCTGCTACGCATGTCACCTGGCCAGCCATCCTCGAGAGCCTACAACACCAATCCCTCAGGCCATAAAGAAGAGGAAGGCCACGCAAAAGGTGGATCGAGGGTGTCAAGGAAACAATGAGAAAACATAATATCACAACTGACAGAATCGCGGAGCTGGCCTACCATAGAAAACTACATCTCCCCTCGACGCTTAACGGCAATAGAGGATGAAAAAGTAAAAAGTAAAGTAAGCAGACGAAAAAAAACCCATCAACATTAAAATAGATTATCATTGACCAATAGAAATCATTCGCTACGATGGCACTTTCTAAACTGTGATGTGGATAACCATTGTTCGAATCGTTGAAGACTGTTCTTTAATAGTTTGTCACATTTGTAGACTTTTGGCTGTGTTCTTTCGGAGATGAACTCTTAATCCAAAGGCTGGCTATAAGATACCGTCGCTGATGTGTTTTTAAAAAAGGCGTTCAACCCTTTCTATAGCTGAGATAGGCCTTCATTGAAGATTTTCCGGCGACAATGTCTCCAATTATTGTACAACGTAGCGAAAAACCTACCGTACTAAAAAAACCCCCACAACACATAAGATAAACTGAGGCATTGTAATAATAGACTCGTTATAATAGCCTAGACTGTACACTCTGAAGTACTTCCGATTCACAATGGAGAGCACCAGTTGACTCTATTTGGAACCAAATGAAGGGCAAGGCCGGAACGATTGCATGTAAATTCTACAATACCGAGACTTGACGTTTTGTCATATCTTGCACGCCCATTGAGTGCACCAGCGTAATAAAGTGTTATACAGAACAAAGAGCGGCGGCCATGACATGGCCGGTGTAGGAGATCATAATTCACGTCTACAAGGCTGTGCCTCACACTCACTTCTTCTCCTCACCACCAGCACAATCACCACGACGATGACGACGACGACGAGAACGGCAACAGCGACGCTTGCAGAGGCGACCACAGTGACGTCAGAGATGTCCGTGCTTGCCTCAGGGCTCAGTGGAAGTGCTGTAGATAGATAGATAGATAGATAGATAGATAGATAGATAGATAGATAGATAGATAGATAGACAGATAAATAGATAGATAGATAGATAGATTGACGGCGAAGTGGGTTGGTAGCTACATACTTCTCCTCCTCATCCTCGTCCACCTCTTCTTTTTTTTCTTCTTCTTCTTCTTCTTCTTCTTCTTCTTCTTCTTCTTCTTCTTCTTCTTCTTCTTCTTCTTCTTCTTCTTCTTCTTCTTCTTCTTCTTCTTCTTCTTTTTCTTCTTCTTCTTCTTCTTCTTCTTCTTCTTCTTCTTCTTCTTCTTCTTCTTCTTCTTCTTCTTCTTCTTCTTCTTCTTCTTCTTCTTCTTCTTCTTCTTCTTCTTCTTCTTCTTCTTCTTCTTCTTCTTCTTCTTCTTCTTCTCTTCTTCTTCTTCTTCTTCTTCTTCTTCTTCTTCTGTGCTGGCATGGGAGGGGGGGGGGGGGGATATCAAGAGGACAGACAGAAATAGCAGAGTGAAAGAAAAACATTTTAAACCTACAAGTGGCTCCCTCCAACCACCCACAGCTATCGTGCTACCTGCCCTTGGGTTCATCTACCAATATTGTTAATTGTACCAGTGGTTTTTAAAACTTATGGCTTATCTTCTCTTGGAGGAAAGCTGTCTTGAACCTTACACTTTTACAGTGGAATTAGACATTGTACGCTAAGCAGCACCGAGGTGCCTTGATAGAAATAGTAATAATCGAAAAAGACGGATCATGAATACAGGTGGCAATTTGCCTTCCTGAGAAGGCGTGCAAGTCATAATAATTATGTAGGTCAACGTCTTATGACGTGCCGCACCGTGCCCAAGCAGCTAGAGTGGGAATGAATATTTTACACAGTTTAAACCATCAAACTGTGAAGTACTAGGGCTATATATACTGGCGTAAACCGTCGGACTGTGAGGCCCTAGGACGGTGTATACCGGTATAAACCCTCAAACTGAAGTCGTAAGGCGGTATATACCTATTTAAACCGTCAAACTGTGAGGCCCAAGGATGGTATACCGGTATAAACCACCATAAGATAAACGGCACGAAACAGTTCGGTACAATACACTGGCTAACTGGGGCCGAATGCCGTATTCTGTTTGGAATGCATGGCCTGTCCAACACTGCATTTTACAATAATTTATTAGTTGATACACGATGCAGGATGCAGATGACAAACTGTGAAGTGTGGAACTGAATTTACCTGAAACGTTAAATCTTGTGTGAGCAGATCGTGAGTAGCATCCAGTAATGTGAGACGCACTACAAGAGCAGGCTATTTCTCCGTCTGTAGAGTCCACGGGAGGAAGAGTTATCTGTTCAGAGCCCGAGATGTTCCCACAAGTCAACAGAATGTCTTGTGACGTCACGGGCGGGTATCCACCATCAACCAAGCACGTGACATTTGTAGCTGTGCTTTTAGAGACGACTTCCGGGTTTTTCAGGACGTTGCCGGGTGGTCCGATGCTGATTATGGTGATCTCCGGTTCTGTTTGAGGTGGTTCTGAAAATGAAAATCTTTCAGTTTACAATTTCTTTGGCTTTTATTGTTCCCACTTAGTTTTATGAGAACTTCATCTTGAGCTCTTTGACTTACAGAATAAGTGGGACTTGTCTGTCAAGATTTCCAGCCCGGCCCTGGTAGGGCCTGACTGGCAGGATCGAAGCAGTCCGTATCCTAAATGAACAATCTACGCTATGAATATTCAAACTCCAGCAGCTGAAAATTAGAGGCCGTACTTTAACCAAAATCACACCTAGGCATTACGTTTGAATACAGAGCCCCCTCATATTTTTGTAGGATTGCATTATCTTAGAGTCCCTTGATGGTGAACGGGCACACAGATACCTCGGTTAATATTATGCTGAACTGCGCATGACTCGAATCCACAAAGTCATGTGTTCATGAGTGTAGGTCGTATGGGAAGTGTTCAAAGCTCTGCACTGACAGATTTTTGTCCTATCGGAGATGGCTATTAAATTGGGTTTCCAACTAGCTCATTAACTATGTTAAAATGGGTTTGGGAGCAGGGAACCCGTACGGCACAAGACAAAATAGGTATCTTACTGAAGTGATTACCGCTAAGCGTGTCCTTCCACAGATAATTCTATTCGTAAGTTTTAGGAGTGTAAACTTTGTTTGGTATGAACGTATGCAATGTTTTAAAACATGTTCAGGAGAGACAGACCACTTCACATTTAGACAGACCGTACCTCTGACGAGAATGGTCAGCTGGTCACTTTCAACAGGCGCTGTATTGTCTCCCTGGGCAACACAGGTGATGTTGTAGGATCCTCCAGCTTCCGGCACAAAGTCATACGAGTACACGTAGGTATTGTTTCCACTTCCAATCACATGTTCTGGTCTTGACCTAGCGTACACTTGGTTGTTCACGAGAATTGTAAACTTTGGTTTGGGGTTAAAGGTCGTGCTACACTGGAGCAGTATTTGTAGCGGTGAGTCTGAGCAGATGTCCACAGGTGAGTTATTGCCCCTGTCTATTCTCTCAAAGGTGACAGTTTCTGTTTGGGCTATGGGAGAAAGGTATGTTTGTCTACATTAATTTAAAGTTTTAAACAGTTTCATTTCAGAAGAGTATTATAAAAAAGAGAGTCTTGAGAAATATTTAGAGCTCAAACTTAAAGAAAAAAAAATAACTTGGAAAGTGTTCACCCTTCCATCTTTTGACCGTTATCAAGACGATAATTATATAAATGAAAAAAAAAGAATAATAGTATTAACTATAGCAACAAGTGCAAACACGGCATTACATGATACACAAGTCTAAAGCAGTCTCCCTATGATGATGATGATGATGATGATGATGATGATGATGATGATGATGATGATGATGACGATGATGACGATGATGATGATGATGATGATGTGGAGGAGGAGGAGGTGAAGAGGATTTACGCTAAGGTGTACTTTGTTTCCATAGTTTTGTTATTATTTTTCATCACGTGCCTGACAAAGCACACAGGGCGAAATATTGAACCTTTCTATAAAATTACAGAACCACTTATACCCAAGTCTCCACCAATTTTTTTTCTGATCTTGATTCCTCAAATGATGATGGTGAGACTTTGATTTGTCGGAATTACTTTATACTGTGACTTTGAAGTTGTTTTATAAATCTAGTGTCCCCTCCTTTATGCGTAAGTCCTCTTTGAGTGACGTACACCTTTTGTGACCAATTTGATATCCTACTCACGGTCAAACAGGGCAATGGTGAGACCCCCTCCTGCGCATAACCTGCTTACCAAATTAGTCAGGTACGGTATAAAAAAAATCTTTTTTTTTGTTAGTGTTTTACGGCGCTCACAACTGCGTAAGGTCATATGAGTGCTCGGGATCCATTAAGCATTTTTCAGTTTGGTAGGGATTAAAATTTGAATTTTGTCCTGGTGGGAAACATCTTAGGCTCATAAGTGAGACTGATGCTATCCTGGCATGTGGAGAAAAAGCAATCACCTGGGCCACCACAATATTCCTAAAAGCATGGGCCGAGAGCAAATGCCCAGAAGAATGGCAGCGTGCAGTTTTTATTTGGTACTAATTTGGAAAAAGAAATGTAGTACGAAAGACTACAGCAGGTACCGAGGAATTTCCCTCCTGAGCCACACAGGCAATATGAATGCAAACAATATTTGAACAGCGTACAAAGCACAAGGTGGAACCATTACTGAGTTAGGCTCAGAAAAGCTTCCAAAAAAGAACATGCACAGACGATATCTTCGCTTTCAGACAACCGAGTGAAAGGACAATTTATTGTGAAGCATCATGATGAAAACGTCAGTATAGCAATGTTTATCGAATATTTGGTTTTTGGCTCAACACCTTTTATGTCCATTTAATACACATTTTGAGTGGATTGTACTGAAAAATGCTGACCAAAGGCCCCCAAAAATGTACATTTTAAATTTCCAAGGACTCATAATCTATGGAAATCACCAAACTTTGGGGGCCTTTTCATCGGTAATTTTACCTCTGAAATCAAGCAACCCCACCTTGTTTAGTTGCAGATACGTCGATTTCTGTTCAAAATAGATGGGTATTTTATTCATAGAAAGATAAACAAATGAGCAAGCTTTAAGATGATACCAATAACCCCACATGATCCAAAATTGACGAGGGCCTGATTCCCCTGTGTCCTGACACAATTATTTATTAACACAACAAAGAATTGAATCTTGAGTTTGTAGACCAGGGAAATGCATGTGACTTGTAGACAATAGCAAACTGTGGAAAACACTTGAAGAGTACAGTATCAGGGGATAACTGTTGGGCAACATCTGAGCCATCTAATCTACACCAACAGTATGAGCAAAGTCCGCACCCAAAATGGACTGACTGAAAGGTTCGATTTGTCATGCGGAATGAGTCAAGAATGTGTGTTATCACCGATACTTAACATCATATGCATGGACAAAACCACGAAAGAAGCAAATCCCAATTCGAAAGATCCGAATGAGATACTGCTTGCAGACAACGAAAGACTGGCATATGAGAAAGAAGAGCAACTTCAAGAGTACAGAGACAGTCTGAATACACTGTAAAAATCTCTACAAGAAGATCAGCCAAAGCAAAACTGAGATGATGAAGGTCCACAGAACGTCTGGCAACTTCAACTTCAGCAAGTCAGCGAGTTCAAGAATCATGGCAATATGTACTTGGGCTTGAAACAGAGAAATTATTAAGACGAAGGTAAAGAAGGCAAACAGCGCCAGCTACCAGCTTACCCCATTCCTCAAACATCCTAACATCCCCTGTGAGACCAAATCCAAGCTCACTGACTCTGCCTCCATCCCCACATTGACCTACCAGTGCCAGACATGGACCTTGACTAAAAGTCTGGAACAAAAGATAACCACTTGCAAGGTGAAATGTCTTAGGACAGCCGTCATCAAAACCAGTTTGGGCATGGTCAGAAACACCAGGATCAGAGAACTGGTGGTCCTGTCCATTGCCAGACATGGACCTTGACTAAAAGTCTGGAACAAAAGATAACCACTTGCAAGGTGAAATGTCTTAGGACAGCCGTCATCAAAACCAGTTTGGGCATGGTCAGAAACACCAGGATCAGAGAACTGGTGGTCCTGTCCATTGCCAGACATGGACCTTGACTAAAAGTCTGGAACAAAAGATAACCACTTGCAAGGTGAAATGTCTTAGGACAGCCGTCATCAAAACCAGTTTGGGCATGGTCAGAAACACCAGGATCAAAGAAATGGTGGTCCTGTCCTCTACTACATTCAGAGGCAAACAATCAGGAGGTTTGGACATCTGACACGTATGGCACCTCATCAGCTTGCCAGTAAAGCGTACAACAAAATGATATCAGAGTACAAGGTAAGATCAGGAAAACCAAGGAAGGCCTGGATCGAGGGTGGAAATAATACCCTGAAGACCCATAACATCGCACCGAGCCAAGCCATCCAGCTTGCCTGAGACCGAACGCTCTTTCTCCCCTCAACGCTCAAAGATGGTACAAGAGGAAGGATAAAGTAAAGAGAGTAAGTAGGGCGACCGAAGCGCCCTCTTATAAATTTTAGGACCACAAAGATTGTTTAACGGGCGCAACTTGCACACGGGACGTCCCAGATTTATTCGTCCATATACGAGAAGGCTACGTGTTGGATCTAATTACTCTAAAATCGGGTTGTGGCTGAAAGACAGCAGTTAGAAAGACCAAGGAATAGCAGCAGAAAGGCTGCAAGAGCCATGACCCAGAGGAGCGGGGGGGGGGGGGGGAGCAGAATGTGGAGACGAAAGCAGACGACAGAACATGGTTAAAGAGCAGGAAAGGAGATGAAAGAAGAACATTTTAGAGAACAAAAATTGCCGTTGCTATCAGGTTTCGAATCGGGGACCTATTGGATAAAATGTGAACACCATACTTCTAAACTACAAGAACCCCCCCCCCCTCCTCCCCAATAGTCTTTGGTTCCTTACTGCTTGCAATGCGTCCAATGTGTGCCCCAAAGGATTCCGTAATACACTTTAAGGGGGGGGGGGGGCTACACCTGAAGGCTATCTCGCTTATTACTGGACCGAAGTTTACCAAATTTCACACATATAACAAGCATAGTAAGCAGTTATGAAATCCGCAATCAAATTGAGATAAAAGTTTCGTTTCCATGGATACGGCGGCCATATTGGACTTTGTTGACATGTCTTACGTAATGAACACCGCACTTATTGCTCATGGAAATTGATTGTTTTTTTGCAGACGTGTTCAAAAACATCAGGTCTAAATATTTGTCTGTTGTTTTTTTCCTAAACGAATTAGAAAAAATTTTTATGAATTTTTTTCTGAGGTAGCATTCAAGTTTGCGAAAAATCATTGAAAATCCACACTCCAGACACCACCAACAAAAATGATAATATATTCCATATATCAAAAATTCAACCAACAGCTTTTTAGTATTACGCCTTCTCTTCATTCTGTGAAAATTTCATAAAGATTGGATGAAAAATAGTGGAGTTATTCAAAAAAGTATAGAGAAAAGTCGCGTTTTGAGAAATCGGCCGATAAAGAAAAATAAAATACTGACTTTATGAGAAAATGGCGGTCACAAATATGCCCGGTTTTGGAAAAAAATCGGTTTTCAGGAGTTCTTATGCGATGAAATAGTTGTAGGAGAGGCTGAGGAAGCTAAAAAGAGCTGCAACTCAAGTTCCATGATTTTGAGCCGAATTTTAACTTTGGGGGTGTGGCCACCCCCCCTCCTTTAAAGCCTTTTCCTAGACATTCCCTTCCGTATTGTCTGGGCCTCTCCACACTTGTTTCCACTATCTGTAGTTTCTACTTATCAATCACTATCACAATCACTATCACAAACCCACCCCCAAGCTCCACCACAGATCGACACCACCTTTGGATACGCCGCGATAGACCGAGAAACTGTCAAAACGCTAAATACCCTCTCCTCTGATCAATACTGCAAACATCCTTTAAAAAAACTACACATCCAGAGGATACAGAGACTTCCGTACTCCTTCTTGGCTGGAAAACCGCATTCTCACTCGTCTCCGAACCATACCTCGACTTCTCCTTGCAGATTATCCGCCATCTACATGACAGTGTGACGATGCGTTACTTACAAGCCCCGACGCTCTCCTGTCCCCCACAAACCCCTAAGCTCAAACGCTATCTAAACATCTACACATGACTACCAATCAACGCTCCTAACTACCCCTTGGCACAATCATCAAGGCACTCTCGGTCTTATGATCGTCCTCTCAAGCCCTTGATCCATCAACTTCGCTGGAAGCTGCCCCCTTGGAATATTCTACGCTGGACAGTATTCGTGATGATGATGACGATGAAGAAGAGGAGGAGGAGGGGGAGTAGGAAGAGGAGGAGTAGGAGGACTAGGAGGAGGAAGGCAATGGTACGTTGTAGTGAAAATCACAATCGTAATATTAAAAACCTTTATCTCCTTATTGTCATCCCTCCCCCCCCCTCTCTCTCTCT